CCCTCTGAACCCCAAGGACTTTCTGAGAATGGTTTCCCCCTGTGTTTTTACTCACTGTGAGCTAATTTTCACTGCAACCTAATATCCTGTGCCTCGATGAAACCAGCACAACCGTGAAGAAGTACAGAAAACTCAGAGATGTCTTTTGTGTAGGGGGACAGTTATGATGCTGTAAATGACAGGTTGGATTAAATTGTTTGTTTTTGGCTAATTTTACTTTCATTTAGAAGAAAGTGGGGCTGCACGGTGGCTCGGTGGTTAGCGCCGTTGCCTCGCAGCTAGAAGGTCGCCGGTTCGCGTCCCGGTGAGGATCTTTCTGCGTGGAGTCTCCATATTCTCCCCGTGCAGCGTGGGTTCTCTCCGGGTTCTCCGACTTCCTCCCACAGTCCAGAAACATGTTGAGGTTAATTGGTGATTCTAAATTGTCCGTAGGTGTGAATGTGAGTGTGCTTGGTTGTCTGTCTCTAAGTGTAGCCCTGTGATAGACTGGTTACCTGTCTAGGTGAACCTGCCTTCACCCTGAGTCAGCTGGGATAGACTCCAGCTCCCCGCAACCCTAGTGAGGATTAAGGTGTATCGATGATGCATGGATGGATTTAGAAGAAAGTGATGAAATATTGCAATGTTAAGCTAAGATTTGACAAATTATTGACAGTCACATGAATACTTCATAGACTGTAGGACAGTTGCAAATCGACTAGTGTGTTTTTCTGTGATAAATGTTATTGTATATGTATATTGTATATTGTATTATATGTAGTTTTGGTGATATCCAAAAGATAATATGTCTTTCAAACCCAAACTGTGGGTTTTGGGGTTTAGGATTACTGCGCTGGATGCAATGTGCAGCCTCACTGCTACGTGCTGCTGTATCCTACTCACATCTCCTTTAAGTTTTTACTGCTCATTTATACCAAAATAATGTGATTTTATGTTTAGGTTACTCATTGATGTTTTGCTAAATATTCTCAGAGATAATATATTAGTAACCTTAATTTGACAAACACTGCTGCCCACCTGTCACCACAGTAATTTCCATTTTAAAGCCACTATAATGAATATTTGTATTTGAATAATATGTAAAATAACGCGTTAAAACCAACGCAAAGAAGTGTTGACCTCAGTGTCACCCAGCCCCTGCAAACATTTTACCATTTAAATCACTGTTTGTATTTTCCAGCCCTCATGAAAACTTCAATGGCAGATGGAAATAAAAGTTATAATGAATGAAGGAAGTCTGAATTGAAACAATAATTGATTTAGCATATGAACACTGAAACATGATTTTGTAATTATTCCTTCTGATCATACTGGATATGGAGCGATTGTGCTCCACCGTCCATGTTTTGTGCAGAAACAGGAAGCTGAATTCTGAAACGTACACTAGAAGTGCATTAAGGAGTTTTGAAGACTTGTGATATACTCGGAGAAGACGTGCTCTTAAATGAACGTTGCGTGTTTCTTGATATCCTCAGGATCATCCATGAAGACGGCTACTCAGAAGACGAGTGCAAGCAGTACCGAGCGGTGGTTTACAGTAACACCATCCAGTCCATCATGGCCATCGTGAAAGCCATGGCCAGTCTCAAGATAGACTACTGCAGCCCTGCCAGAGTGGTGAGACACGCAAACAGTCAAACACAATTTATTTGTTAAAGCACCACATCTGTGTACAATATGCTCTTCAAAAATCTTCCAGCTGAAGGCGCAAGCACGGATTGACCACAAGCAATAAAGACCCACGAGCAGAAGCCAGGCTAGAGACTCGAAGCCGTCATTATTGTGTGAGAATGCAGAATGTAGTTGGCCTCACTAACAGTGGACACATCGCCATCTCCCTCAGGCTGCAGCAGAATAAAAAGCCTGTTTTATCAACAGCATCTTGCAGTTGTGTACGTGGCCCAGTCCTTCACACTTGCTGTGTGCTTTCCCAGAACCAAAATCACAAGTTTACCTTTGTTTCAACAACTTATTTTGTACTTTTCACTCCTTCCTCTGTCTCAAAATGAAAAAAAAAAAAACCCAGCTGCATGCACCACTTATTATCTCTGAAGCAAAACATTTTACTCCCTCACTTAAACCTATTCTCGTACAACCTGGTGAACACAGACTATTTCAAAGCTGCGATGCCTCTGGGAAGCCAGGTCTGTTTCTCACATCTCTCCTCCTCTCGGCGATTCTTGTTCAGTCAATAACACGGGCGAGCTGTGCCAGGGTTTTAAACAAATGTGGGATCATGTGAGCTCCAACACACACCTGTGCACAGCAGCCTTTTTATCAGCAGCAACATCGCTGTAGTAGAATCTGGAACACGGTGTAAATCCCTTTTTTTCCGATACATCTTTGTAACCTGCAGGGAAACAGTCCTTGTCTTGCCGCCTTCATCTACTCCATCTTTGATCTGCTCTTACCTCAAAGTTGTAATAGGCAGAGAAGAGTCTTCAAGTGTACTTAAGACCTGCAACAGGAGCAGCAGCAGCCGCCGCTGAGGGCTATTTTGGGGATTGGATTTATTCAGAAGTGCTAACAAGACACATTCGAATAGCCAGATGTTTTCTGCAGCCTCAGCAGAGAAACAAATAGACTTTTCTGGTTTTGGAGAATATCTAGCTGTGAAAGGAGGACTGTACATCGAGCACAACTGGCTGGTTTTCATGTTAATGTTCACCAAACCCGACCCTCTCATTAAGGATGTCAGGCCTGTTAATCTTTAGATAACTCCACTTGTTAGTATGGTGTTCTTTGGAGCTAAATCTGAGCAAAAATCTGCATTTAAGGAGCTTGAAAAGTCTGTTTCCTGTTTTAGTCTTTCCAAAATCAAAAATTCAAGACCAAAATTGTAAGAGGTGGAGATGGAGATCATTTTGTGCTCCAATATAAGATGCATTTTCTGTCAGACTCCTTCAAAAGCCAACTTGTTAAAGCAGCTAAACATCTCTGCTTTTTATGATGAACCTGCAGAGAACTATTAAGTGACTGCAGCTGATGTTGGCTTTATGCAGCTTTATAGTGAGTTTTAGCTCGTAGTTCAATCATCTGGCCCACAAGTCTGCTCTTCTTCTGCTACAGAATTCTCATTTTAGAAGGCGTCACCTGGGAACATCTGAAAGTCAGAAAGTCAAAGAGCTTAACTAACTACAGCTACAGCTTATTGAATTCTCATGTCAGCTGGCAAAATCAGCAGAAGCCATCTAGAAAAAGAAGCTGCATTAAATTAAGGAGTCTTATTTTTTTTCAAGATTGACCAAGAATTTTAGGTGGTGAATCTGTCACTTTTTTTTTTCCTAAAGTAGTATATAGAGAGTTTTTTCAGATTGTCTCCACTTCATTTAATTGCAAATCTGATATCTGAGGATTTTGGTTTGTTCCTCTGAAGCTGACTTTCAGTTGAAATCCAAATTCCTTTATTTGACACGTATACATGACACAAATTCTTCTCCACGTGTCCCGGCTGGTTAGGAAGCCGAGGTCAGAGGTCAGCTGTGATGCAGCAGCCCTGGAGCAGAAAGGGTTAAAGGATCAGGAACCAAAGCCTTAACTGTTGCTTGAACCTCTGACGTCCTGATCCAAAGCCTGAACTGCTGCGCCGCTACGTTTCCATGTGCAGATGTTTAACCAGTTAATTAAAACAATTTCAGTGCTGTAATGAATATACAATTAATGTAATAAATAATAATTAGGTGTCGCCATAATTAACACATATGCACAGCAGCTCCTCAGTCACATACGTGCAGGAGGACACGCCATCGACATCAACAGGCTTCGGGTTGGAGGAGCAGTCGGCTGTGAACGCTCATCAACCTCTGAACAAGCTGTCAGTGAGGTCTCACAGCGGCTGAACTCATTCCTGTGCCACAGTGTGTGTCAGCGCGATTTTACAGTGAAGCCAGTGCATGTGTTCTGTAACTGAAGCTGTAATAGAAGGATCGAGGACTTGGCTCTGGTGTTTGGATTTTTTTTTTTCTTTTATCACCGACAGATCTGTCAAATGGCTGCGTGTACGTGACGGTACTCTCACACTCCCACACATAGCAATTAGTGTGCTAGCCTGCCCATGCTTGCACACAGCAGCCCTGTAGAAGTGCACACACACACACTTACAGACTGTGTGCATGAAAGCTGAAAAATGCACATGAAGCCAAATTGCACACTCTTGCACATTATTCACGCTGTTTGCTGTTTAGCCTGGTTGAGGGAGCGGGAAGAGTTCCAACAAGTGCATCACAGTATAGATCATTTACATCCAGAGGAGGAACTTTGATTGGTGCCATATAAACTCATCAGTTATTCTCCCAGCAACAAAATACAACAGAAATAAAACTAATTAGAAAAGAACAAGGTTATTTGTCCGTTTTAAACGTTGCACGCAGACAAAATTCTGCAAACTGATTAATGAAAAGTAAAGTGATGCTCACCAAGAAGGTAAATAAAATTAAACAACAGAAGGAAATAAATTCAAAATATGAAAATACGACAACCCACAAAAGGAGCAGGAACCATCCAAAATGATCAAATTCCCTCTGAAGCTGTTGTGAAGGAAAGGCTGAAGATTTATTATTGCTATTTTTGTGAATAAAGCTCGAAGAAGAATATCAATCCCACGCCAGAAGGAATATGGAAAATGGAGAGAAACGAGCAATGTGGCAAACAGCAGGACGTCAAACCACAGTCTGTTACAGCCACCCGGCATGCTGTTACCTTGAGTCACACCGGCTATTGCATACATTTGCTCATCACAGGTTTGCAGGCGCATTTCTTATCCTGATTTCTACGGATTCATTACTACGTTGCTGCTACTAGCATGACATTCTTTGGCTGCAGTCAAGAGATGTAGATCCCATATTACTTGATTTATCCGTATGTATCCAGGTCATTTACAAATGCAGATTGTCACCTGTTGATCATTCTTGGGGGGGGGTTGTATTTTCCATGTCAACTTCACTTGGTGCACAGGTCACATGACGTTTGCTTTACTGAAGATCAATAATGTGTTTTCTCTAATTCTACGTATACTGTGATGTGTGATGTTTTGATCTTCATAGTGCCCGTTGCAGACGTAGGAATTCAGGAACAGTTTACTGTCTACATTAATTAGTAAATTCATTTTTGAGGCAGTTGTTCTCCTGTGTATGGTGGCTGAAAAAAGATGCCAAGTATATTACACATTTGCTGCATTTGAAAACACATTTTTCACAGAATTAGAGTTGTGGAGGTTGTGTTTTTTTTAAACCACTACAGCAGCCAATAACCCGTTTAATGTGCATATGGGCTTGTGTATTGTGTTGAGTCTGACTGTGTTTTATTGTTTCAATCCGTGCACAATTCTATACAGCGGGTGCAGTTTCATTAAGTTTGCATGTTTGTTTTGGCACTGCTGTCGTCAGTATAACAAACCGGGTTCTGTGTCCGTCTCGCTTCCTGCAGGACGACGCCCAGCAGCTCTTTGCTCTGTCTGCAGCTGCCGAGGAACAGGGCATCCTTCCTGATGACTTGGCCAACGTGATCAGGCGGTTGTGGGCCGACAGCGGCATACAGAGTTGCTTCGCAAGGTCGCGAGAATACCAACTCAACGACTCCGCGGCATAGTGAGTGTGAATTTGCGGCTGTGTTTTGTATTTTGATACCTTGCAGCTGCTCACGGGCTCGATGAAATCACTGATTTTTTAATATTTAAGTTGCCTCCATCAACAGCTTCTAGTTACACATCACCCCTGAACACACTGATGTGTTATTCTTCTCATGTCCCTTGACAATTGGAGAATTGTTCTACAGCTGAAACACAACAGTTGCTATGTTAATAAGAAAATAAAGAAATCTCCAGAGAGTTACAGGAAAAGAGATTTTCCTGTTTGTGCATTTGGTTGATAATTGTGTTGATTGCTTTCATATTTGTGTCATATTCGGGGTTATTTCTTTCTGTTCTCTTGGCGTCGAGACGAATCCGTCTTTGCGGCCTCTCTCGTCTACAGTGCAGAGGCTTCTCTGGGGAGTTACCGAGCCTGGAAACATAGTCCAATGATTTCCATTTAGTGCTGATTCCTCCCTCTCTGGGTTTGATTCTTTAATATTGTAACCTGATAGGCAGAGCACAGAGGAGTTTGTCTTTGGGGATCAAAAATATTAAATTAAAAACAAATTGTGTTTACTTCACGGAAAATTAGCTTCCGAGTAAACTTTGAGAATTTATGGTTCTTATAATGATACCCCCAAGTGACTCCTTTGATTTTATTTTATTTTTTTGTAAACAACTTGATGAATTTCTTGGCAGCACTATTGTAAAGTCAGTGACTTTGTGTGATATGTTCACTACAGTTTGCATATCTCATTTTTAAACATGTTGAGTGTTGTGATGAGACCAAAAAACAATATCTTTTAAATCTTTTATTGTGTTTTTTCACTTCAGTAAATCTGACAGTATGGAGGAGTGAGAGGGCCAAATTACAAATATAATTAAATAAAATAATAACAAAATAAAAGTGGAAATGAAAAGAAGAATAAATAAAGTAATAAATAATGTGGCAATATAAAGCAATAACAATCAAAAATCATTCCATGAAAGAAAAGGTTAATAAAAGTAGAAATATAAAGACAAATAAATAAAATAATAAAGCTAATAATAATTTATTTTAGGTTTTAATTTTTGTTATTTGTTATTTTTATGTATTTATTTTTCTTTTTTATATTTTTGTTTTATTTTTTTATTTTTTTTTATTTTTATGGTTTTATTTATTTTTTATTATTTTTTATAATGTCACTTTAAAAGCAAAGGAAATATGCACAAATGTGCGCAGTCAGAATGTCGTTTTTCTGTGCATGCTTCCTTTGCTTTTAAAGCGACATTATGAAAACTAAAAAAAACATTTTAACAAAAATAAATACAAATAAATAATAATTACAAATAATTACAAAATAACAAAAAAAAAAGACATAATAATTACATTTTATTTTATTTTATTTATTTGTCTTTATATTTCTACTTGTATTAGCCTTTTCTTTTATGGATTAATTTTTTATTAATATTGCTTTATATTGCCACATTATTCTTATTTTTTTTATTCTTATTTTAATTTCCACTTTTATTTTCTTATTCTTATTCTGATTTATTTTTGTAACTCGGCCCTCTCGCCGCTCCGTACGACAGGTTTTATCAGCTCATTGATTAATAGTTTTATAAGCATGTGGTATGCATGAATGGCGAAACGCTGGAGATATGTCTCTTTCTCTCTGTGAAGTGTAGGTTGGCTGGGCAACCAAAGCTCCCAGCTGGCCTCGGAGGATGATGCAATGCTTGTGTAAGTGGGGCAGGCTGTGTCAGGCATGGTGAAGATGCTTCCACGCTCCCCTACTGACCAACAGTCTGTCAGAAATCAGAAAATATGAGAAGCTAAGGAGGAAAAATGAGGAAGATCAGTTTTCATTAGAGACGTAAATGATGCAAAAATGAAACGGAAAGCATCCAATTCAATTTCTGGAGAGACGAATACAACAAACTGACTTTGATTGGATTTAACTTGTCTTGGATGGAGCCTCTGTAATGCTCTCGGAGGTGTTTTTGCATACTTGTAACCCTGCTTTTGCATGCACATGAAGTTTCCTGCAACTTTGCTCTTCTTGAACTTGTATTATTGTATTTAAACAGATCACAGAAGGAACAACACATTCACTCCCGTAGAGCAAAAAAAAAAATGTGCATGTTGCCATAGAAATCTTCTCACTACAGATCTTTCACACTGGGTCTAGTGGCGGTCCCACAGTGGTCTCACATCCAATCAGCTGCTTCACATGGGGATTCATGACAGCGTTTGTAGAGAGTTGCTGTTTGCTGTCCATGCTCTGACCTCATCTCACTCCCCACAAGCCTAAACCGAGCTCAGCGCCGCAGAGATCGGAGCGACGATGAAAAATGTTTCCCCCCAAAAAAATTGCATTAGATACGGAGCCCGGCACCGACACATCCGCTGCAGTGGAGTGAAATGGGAAAATACAAAAACCACTTGCAGCAGCAGCAGCAGCAGCAGCAGGCTAGGACGACTGCTGCAGGAGATAATATTCAACTTTAGCATGTTAAATTCACAGAAATGTATGGCTTTCAGTCAAATCAACTCTGAAGAGAGGTTACGTTGAGAGGCAGCCAATGAGCAGTGTTGTATACATTCTGTTGAGTCACTATAACATGAAACCACGACGGCACTAATTCCTCACTAATTCCAATCATACTAAAACCTGATTTTTTTTACCTCGCTGTAAATCAACAGTATGAAAGCATCACAATACATAGAAATCCTCACATGTAGTCCAGATAAAAAAGACAAAAAATATTATATTCCTAGCACCAAGAGCAGTAATTTAGCTTGTTTGTGGCCGATCAAATCAAGTGTTCGAGGCTCTCAGAAAGGACGGAGAGAGCTCTTGACTAAAATGCAAACTGTTTTGGATGTTAATGCACCACAAGTGCCTCGGTAACCCCCGTTTGTGTTTTGGTCTCTCTCTGTTTTTTTTGCAAATCACGTTGAAATCTCGATCTCTCCCTGTCTCTCTTTAGCTACCTGAACGACCTGGAGAGGATAGCTAAGGCAGATTACATCCCCACCCAGCAGGACGTGCTACGGACTCGCGTCAAGACCACCGGCATCGTCGAGACTCACTTCACTTTCAAGGAACTGCACTTCAAGTAAGGTCGCGCAGCAAGGACTCGTCGTCTAGAATTCAGGTTGAAAACATAAAACAGACTTGTGAAATGGAAAGATAGATTTTCACTCTCTGTCCGTCTCCCTTTTAGCAGAACATGCGCTTTGGCCATTTGCAACCGATGTGAGAGTCCAGGGAGCTCTCGCTTAGCAACTGACCCGCAGTCAGAGGGTGCATTTGACATGAAGTGAGCGGTAACATGACCCCTGGATGATGGTGTTATTTGGTGAAGAAAAAAGCCAGTTTGTCTTACTGGTCACACAGGATGACATGAAACCCGACCAGCAGAAGCAATGAAATCTTTCTCTGGTGCTATTTTTGAAAAGCTCTGATATTAAATATCTCATCACCAGCCTCGTCCTCCGTACCTGCACCAACTCAGAGTCGTTATGACTTTCCTTTTGCCACCCAGTCTACAGCATTACCCACACTTAATTTCAGTCCTAATAGCACAAGCATTCAGGAGCGACTGACCTTTCTGGCCTGAAATGTGCAACTCCGCTACTCAGAAGCCAAATTATACCAGCAATTAAAAGCTTAATTCATCATGACTGCTTCGAGAGCCAAGTAAATAAATTAGATCCTGCCCACAATGCTCTCACTCGGTATAGCCAGAGCTTTATTTAGTGATAACATCTGAGTACATGGCACAGCACTGTAGGTCTTACATAAAATATGAGCACTCATGTGTGGGGTAGTAATGGATGTATAGCTATGTCTCTATCGGACATGTGAGAGACGCTGGAGGTGTTTAAACATTTAATGACAGCAGCGTTCTTGTATAGAGTCTATTATTTAAAACCGTTAAAGATATCAGCTTCTTTTAGAGGAGTGTATAAAATAATGCTTTTTTTTTGAAGCAGCTAAACGCATGTGGCTAATAAAACAGGCAGCAGCATGGATCTGGTGTGACCTGCTTCCTGATGAACTCTCTGATATTTACCTTCTGCCACAGCCTCAATATTTGACCTGAATAATACATGGAGGCAATCGATAGGAGGAAAGTCATGTTTTCCTAATTCTGATCTGTTTGTCATGGTAAGTATAGAGAGGAAGTACTTAAAGACACAGTGAGATGTTTGTTTTCCGGGCATCGTCGTGATATGAGCCGTCCTGGATGTGGTTATGACTTGGAGGGTTTCGCTCAGATCGCTCGGTTTCGATCACAGGACTCGGCCTCCCCATTAGCCAGCGCTGAGCCCTGAGCCCCATTGACCCTCTTTTATCAGATATCTGACGTACGTCTCTCCACGTTTGTTCCCCGAACCACCTCATGAAAACTTAATGCATTTCCAGGGATGGAATGTCGCCCTAACTTTCTCCTCTCGTCCCTGCTCCGTTCTCCTCGGTTAGCTTCACCTTTATTCTTTTTCCCGCCGTGACCTCCTTCTCCAAACACACCAACATTATCGCCTTTGTTTGATGTCCCTTTGCAGAATGTTTGACGTGGGAGGCCAACGCTCGGAGAGAAAGAAGTGGATTCACTGTTTTGAAGGAGTAACAGCCATTATCTTCTGTGTGGCGCTGAGTGCTTACGACCTGGTGCTGGCTGAGGATGAGGAGATGGTAAGAAAAAGACCTGTGTGGATGATATCACTTTTCTAGCTTCATAAATCTGCACTTTGGCTCATTTTCAGTAAGCGGTACTTTGGATTATAATGCATGCTGGGCATTTAACACCGCCCATCGCTCCCTATTATGGTGTAATAATAGTGAGCTTCAGGTGGTAAAATCAGCTCATTGAACTCATCTGTGAGGTGTAATTATGTAATAAAAGTCCTAATAGCAATTTTTTCAAGTGACTTGAACCAATTGACCTCAATTTCTTGAACTGCTTGTGAATTTAAAGAAAGTGCTCAGAAGGGACTCGGCCCGACGATGCTGTGAAGTGCCTCTGCACTGCTGCTCCTCGCGTTCAGAATGTGAACCAACATTGTCCCCTGGTGGCAGCTCTGATGTGCTCTCATGTTTTAATGAACACTGCTTTTCTCTCTCTCTCTCTTTAGAACCGAATGCACGAGAGCATGAAGCTTTTTGACTCCATCTGCAACAACAAATGGTTCACCGAGACCTCCATCATCCTCTTCCTCAACAAGAAGGACCTGTTTGAGGAGAAGATCACTCGCAGCCCGCTTACCATCTGCTTCCCCGAGTACACAGGTACACAGTGGAGCATCAGGGGCCATGGCATTATCCCCCCTGGTGGTAAATTACTTTCTCATCTCTTCATTTATTTTTTTTTCTCTATGTTGCTTCCTAGGAGCCAATAAGTTCGATGAAGCTGCCAGTTATATCCAGACCAAGTTTGAGGACCTGAACAAGAAGAAGGACACCAAGGAGATCTACACCCACTTCACCTGTGCCACTGACACCAAGAACGTGCAGTTTGTCTTTGACGCCGTCACTGACGTTATTATCAAGAACAACCTGAAGGACTGTGGTCTTTTCTAAAGGTAGGATGCAGGAACGAATGAATCATGAAATGTTTTAAACTGCTTTCACACCTCGTCTGACATATCTGCTCTGGTGCATTTCAATCTAGAGCTGGAGTTCAGTCATCAACTAATTGCTCAATTAGCAGAAAATTAACTGGCGATCACATGATCCTCTGTTGCTTAGATCATTTTTTTTTTAAGCAAAGAAAGTCAAAATCTTTTTTCTCAAGCTTCTTGTATGTGAATATTTACTTTTTCTCCAGATTCTTTTGTAATTGTAAACCAAATATTTTTGAGGTTGTTGACTGTTAGTCAGAAAAAAAACAAACAATATGAATACGTTAGCCTGCGTCCTGGGGGATTCTGGGTATTTGTACTATTCTGTGACATTTTACCGACTAAAATAGTTGTAATAGTTATCAGTTTAATAAAGAATGAAAATAATCTTGACTCTGATTGGACTCTAAAAGTGGAAATTTAGAGCTTCCGGTGGGCAGTCCTGTTAGACTTCATGATTGGAAAAGTAAAATAGGAAAAGTCTGTGGAAGTCTACCTGTAACCTGTCACACATTTCTATATAAATTCAGGTATATGTTAACATAAACCATATTGCAGGCCGCATAATGTCAGTTGCTGACTAGTTTCACACAACTTAAATTTATTAGTATTTTTTTTAAAGATAGAAGATGTGATATATTTTACTGACTGAGATTAATTTGGATCTGTATGAACAAATTTACTTTTTAAAATTATAAATTCTTTGGATTATCTTGAGTAAGACATGAGTCATAACATTTATATTCTGTATTATGACGCTGTAAAACTTCAGCAAATAAAACCAATATATCAGAACGTCTGTGCTTGTAGTAATAAATGCGAAATGGTCACATTGTTTGTGGTTTTATTTGGGTTAATGAACTTCTTTATATTACATTTTAAAGTTAACAAGTGTAATGTAAACTTATCCAGGTGTGTGAAAGGTACAGTCATGACTCAATAATCCGACCCTGAACAATCCTAAACCTTGCTATCTGACAGGTTTTTAGGAAAAATGAACAGAACTCATTAAAAACAGCCTTAATGTACCGACAGCCCTGGATTCCGACTCCCTCATGACATTTTGTGTCATAAATAAGGATAGCAGCATATTATTTAACTGAATTCTGGGGAGATCCAGATACTGATATCCTTAAGGAGCCATTAACACCTGAGTTTCGGTTTCAATTGAGGGTTGTTACTCCTCCCCCTCGTTATGTGAGTCGTTAATGCTCCACCTGCCACAAAGGGGTTCGTTAGGGTCTTTTGTGACTAGGTGTGAATGCGGTTTCATCTTCGTAGGGAAAGATCTTAGATATTATCTGACTGAACAGTTCAACACATTGGCTACGTTCAGACTACAGGGGTTAATGCTCAATTCAGATTTTTTTGTGAAGTTCGTTCACATTTCCAATTAAATGCGACTTGTATGTGATCTGCTGTGTGAACTTCATATGAAAGTGCTGTTTGGACCAGCCCTACTAGTTATTATAACAACTATGAACAATGAATATTAACAACTAATGAGCCTTCCAGCATGAAGCCCTCCTTGTATCTCGACCTCCATCTTGACAATCCGACAGCCTTGCTATCCGAAATAAAAGAAGGTTTTACATTTAGTGTCAAATGATCAAGTCACGACTTGGCTGCTACCAGTAAACTAGACATCATAAAGTCAGTAGTGGAGCAACAGCCCTTGTGTCTACATTTTGTATTGTCTAAAAACTAAATCTGTCATCTTTGTTTTCTTTGCAGGACAATGCCTGACGCACTCAGACTGCATGAGCGACTGCAATAGCCATGTGACGAATACTGCTTTTCATAATGAAAACCGAAACGGACTTGATTCCTCGAGGGAGAACCTGAAAAACAATCGCTGATTTGCAACCATCACATTCTCTGTTTTAATCTGTTCTTGTTCTTTTTTATATATATATCTTTTTCTTACTGCTCTTTATCAGGGGTTCTTGTACTATTCATACTGAGCACCTGCACATTTGACCAAGGAGATCAATCAACTAACAATCATCCTGCCCGATAAACGGCTGTTTTTTAATTAGATTTGTGACATAAATTATATTAACCAACTGGCTTTAGGGGGAAATAATTGTTAGAAGAGCGACACTGGGAATAACAAAAGCCCATTATCTCAACATGACGAATGGAAATGCGGCAAAATTGAAGCATTTTTCATTCTTAATAGATGGAGTCTGAGAACCGCTTGTTTAAATGGTATTTATTTGATTTGTCATCTTTTTTTGTATTCAGATCTTTTATTGTAGGTTTTCATTTCACTTGCCTTTTGCTTTTGGAGTTTAATAAGAGGATACGGTAGACAAATAAAACAACTTTTTATAAATAAAAAAAAAAAAAAATCACCTTAACTTATGTTAACTGGCATTTTATGAACCTTTTGACTGCACAGAGCTTATTTTTAGAAGAAAACAAACAAGCATGGAGAATGAAAATGGATGAAGGGAAACTGTTTTTTGTACAATGTTTACACAGAATCAAATATTCACACTTGTACTATAGTGCATTGTTCTGCATGACTGTCCATAGATTAGCCTGTACCCCCCCGCCCCCACAAACTGAATAACATTCCTTAAGTAACTTCTTTAAAGAAATGAAACTGAACTTGTTATGTGTCACTTTTAAGATATCTGCAAGATTTTTAAGTGGTTATCTCTGTTCCTAACATGGATTGTTCTGTACTATCTGTTCCATTCCGAGTCTTTTTACATATGTTCGTGCCTTGATATCTGTTTACACTCGTTCTTTAGAGACATGCTTCTTTCTTCATAGTGTGAATTAGGGCTATTTCTACTCCACTTGGGTTCACATCGTCCACGATTGAAGACGCGACGCAGCACCAAGACAAATGGGATGGTAGTTGTTCATTAATAGTAAGATGAAAGTCATTCACTTGATAAATGTAAATAAAAGTTTGGTCACATGATCTGTTTGTTCTGCGGCGTGTTGTGTCGACGGGAACGTGTTGTGTTCATGCACCAAAAAAGAATATTCAAGGGGAAGGATTGAAATTTACTGATGGAGAACATGGGGAGGAAAGTTGGTTCAGAAAAAAAACTAGTAAAGAACTTTAAATTATACATATACTAGTAAAATATTGCCAGAATGAACCAACTGTGATTTTTGCTTTACAGCATACAATGCACACAAAAAACCTGCAATCTATAGTTTAATGTAAACAGGTGGCAATAGTAATCTGTATTTTGTGACATCTACTGCAGCGTTTTCTTTGAATTTCTAATTTGTTTTTATTTAAATACACGTTTGAGGCCTAAAGAGACACAAATGAGGGAGCATATTTGGTGAAAATTTCAAGAAATTATAGATTTGTTTCCCAGAAGTTCATTTTTTCTGACCCACTGGAAGGAGTCTGAACCCTTTACTACCTATAAATGAAAACAATTAATAAAAACTAACCAGCTTCATCAGTTTACACTGAAATGCAACACTTCAAGGCATTATTAGAAACCTTTATGACATATACGAGCCATTTGTATGAGTGATTTTACTTTTGCTGCTTTCAATCCATCTTTTTTTCTGGTACCACCTCAGTAAGTGACTAACAGTCTATATTCTCCTGCTGCATTACAATACAGTGCTGTCAGCATCTAGAGAGCTGAGAGGCGGAGGTGAAGTCATGAAAGCGTTCCTTCATCTGCAAATGAAATGACAGCTTCACTTGAGCCCTCTGTCTGTTACGTGCAGTTTGCATTTCAAACGGCTCATTAAGAAACGAACGGTGAATGAACTGTATGCAAAGCTGCCAGAAGGGTTGTGTGGAGGTTGTCTGAAGGTTCCACAGGGTGGCGCCATGTGGAAATCAGCTCTGCAGGAGGTGTGAGTGGCAGCAGCTGTGCAAGGCAACTTATGGAAAAGTGGCGTTTAAAGCAATGCATTCATGTACTGAAACGAGCAAAATAAAGCGTTTGTGTAACACGACGAACACTGTGAGTGGTTTTCTATTTTTATTATTTGTGCTGCTGCAAATATATATTTAAATCAAATTAAATTGTTCTCCAATAAAGTAATCATTTTTTAAATTTTAGTTTTTTATTAATTTAAACTTTTCTTTTCTTTCCTACAATCATCCAGCTCCAGATGTGCCTGCAGCAGGAACCGCTGGAACCACTCCAGGAAGTATCTGGTTTCAGGCGACTTCCTATTGGCTGGTTTCGGCGACGCGCTGCGCTGATTGGCTGAAGCCAGAAGTTGAGCATCGTGAAAGTCCGCTGACAGAGCCTCATGTGGACCAGAGGAGGGAGGAGGACGCAGGAGACACACTTCACCTCCGATCAGCTGTTCGTCTCCGGAGTTGTTAATCGCGCTCGGATTTAGTTTGAACCAAATGCAAAGGTGAGTGTTTTAACTTCTAGACTAGTATAAAGAGTTTAAATAGTCTCATGTGCTCACTTAATTCATTTGTCTTTTTTTTTCTTCTAGCAAAAAGAACAAAGTTTTGAACTCCACTGCAAACTCTTTCTCACAAGCAATGGTAAGTTTTATTTTCTGTTTTCATGCATTTATATAGTTTTATTGATGTTTTGCGGTAGTTTGATTGTAAATGCCCAGAACCCTCATGTTAAGTGTTCTTTTTTTAAAAAACAAGGCACCAGAAACTATTTTCCTTTACTGACTGTCCTTGGAAAACAGTGTTCCAATCCCCCAGCTAGCATTTAATTCAAACCAGACTGTCCTTGTCAGATGCATACAGCTGTGTGAATCACCTCTCCTCATTGTGTGCAAGCAGCCAAGAAGAACAGGGCATTTTAAAAGTGACAGACCAGCCACTGAGTCCCACTGTGGACGTCTCTGTGTGTCAGATCCCTCAGGGCCCAAATGGTTCAGCACCCACAGCTGTGATAACATCGTGGCATTGTGGTCTCCTCGCTGCTCCAAGCCAAACACTGGCAGGGCAGAGAGGCTCAACAAACTTTAAGATCTTGAAAAAAGAACTGTGTGGGCATTTTTTTTTTTACTACTTTCTGACGAAGAGAAAGCTGCTAAATTAATCATTTTCGTCGTTTCATTCTTCTAAAGATCAGATGAAATGTTAAATAATAATTTCATCAACTAGATTGAACTGATTTCAGTCCATCTCAAAGCTGGAAGATGCCATGATTCATAATGAGTGCACGATCTTTGTGTAATTCCTAAATGTTGCTGTCATTTCCGGATTTATAATATCCACCAGTCAACATCCTGTCGGCTGGAGGAGTCCAGAGAGGATATGTGAGCCTGCACACTCTCCACTTTGTTCAGACTTCCCCTCTAACTTTAGCAGGCAGGGGGATTTTTTTTGGTCCCAGTATAAAATGTGCATCCTGTGCTCTGAATTCAGACTTTTTTTCATTTTCTGGGCTCATGCTGCATGGGATGGTCTCCATAAAGCTGCTCTGAGGTTTGTCAGGAATGCCTTACTTGTTATATGACCATAGAGCGGAGTGATCTCAGCTGGTAAAAATCTTATTGGCCGAGTTGTGGAAATAACACAAGGAACTGTTCAAGCCTCGGCTAAACTGGCCGATGGGATAGTTTGGAAGGCAGCCTAACAGCTCCCCGGACTGCTGCTGCACATATTTCTTTAAGCTGTTTTGGTACAAGTGCTGACTGAAATAGGCTTTATATGTAAATCCTGTTTGCACCACTAAGTGTTTGTCTCTTTCTCATCATGCAGCTCTGTTTGGGAGATTCCACCGACTGCCTCCGGGACCAGATGCAGTGCATGATGAGGTCCCTGCAGGATTTGAAGCAGATCAGCAGGCCGAGGCCACTGAGCGAACCGTGCGTCCGCTCCTTCGCCGTGACGCGCCTCTGCAAACAGAGGGCACAGCAGGAGCGACTCACTCGTCTGCGTGTTTCCGATGCCAGCGAGGCCAGCACGTACGACTCTGCCTGCTGCCTGGCCAGTCCACTGGAGGAGGAGGAGGAGGAGCAGCAGGAGCACGAACGGCTGGCACAAGGATCCCCCAGCAGTGAGAAGAGCGTGGACTTTGACTCGGGCTACTCTGAGGCTTCTTGGCAGGATGAAGGTGTGGTGCTGAGAAGGACCAGAAACGTTCGAGTCTCCTCTTCTGCCTGCCTTCGCACAAACAGAGGACCTTCTGGACGCATCCGGCCCAAATCCACCTCTGACGCTTGCCTGGAGCGCTGGACTTCATTTGAGGCCAGCGATCCGGAGGACTGGACGACGTCGCTGCTGAGTCGCAGCAGGAACAGACAACCCCTGGTTCTGGGGGACAACAGTTTTGCTGACCTAATAAAGAACTGGATGGACCTACCAGACTGTCCTGAGCCAGCAGAACTAAAGCCCAGCGCAGGCCGGCGTCTCGCCAAAGACATTTTGGGCAACATGCGCCGGAGGCTGGCAGGGATGTCTAAAGGTGTGGAGATGAGGCCGAGGCCAGCGGACGCCACCAAAGTCAACAGAGCTGCAGAGGCTCCCAAACGGCTGTCCTGTCCTGTGGGACTCCAATCTCTCAAACCTTTCTTTCACCAGTCCCACACTGGGCTGCACCAACCGGACACTGACTTCTATCAGTTCACCGCCCTCATGAAGACGGGCAGTCGACAGCCCATCATATGCAACGACATCATCGGATACATCTGAGTGACAGACTGATCTTTTGCTGCCAATTTCTAAAAAGACAATTCTTTTTTTTCCCCCTGTTGATTCATCTGGAATAAACGTTTCTTGTATTTAATGAAAATGTCTTCTGCTGCTGCCAAAGATTGAGCAGTCAAAATGAAATGCAATAAAATTCTAAAATCTGAATATTCTAGCCATCTGTTATTGGGTTGAATGTTGTTCATTCAAAAGGGAAAAAACCTTTAATCTTCTTCTTAGCCTTTCATAGTAGACATCAATGCATCATATTGTGTTATCTTCTGACAGATAAATTCACACATCAGCATGTTAATAGTTTAAAAAGTCTACAGAGAAAAACTAAAAGAATATCGAACTGTGGAGATGAAACAAGATTTTCTGATTAGAAATGGGTGTGGTGTGCTCGTCACAGAGACTATTAGGGAACTGGTGTCCATTAGTGAAGTACACAGACACAACTTGTTCCTCAGAGACACATTTATTACATCATTGTTCAGATTAATGACAAACTGCATCCTTGTACCATCATCCCAGTTTCACAGCGAAGATGAATTACATCTAAAAACAGTAATAATTACAGAGCAGATTCACCCGGCATAATTTATATGGGAAACAGAGCATGTTAAAAATGTCAGCGTGTGAACGCGGGGGTGTGGAGTGAAACACATTGTGAGGTTGTGGCAAAGCATTCACAAAAGGCTTCTAGAGACAGATGAAGGCCTCGACTCCAGCTCCTCCACTGAGGAGGGATTCCTCCGGGATGTGGGGGTGGAGGATGGCGGTGCGAGTGTCTTCTGCCTCCGCCCTGCCTGAACTAGTTACCAGCACTGACCCAGCAGTGCCAGTAGCTCTACAACTTCCAGCCCGACTTCTAAAAAGACACTTTACGAGTAGCCCAAAACCAAAAATGAAGAAACAGAACTTTGGGGTACCATGTGGGGTAGCAGTTGCATAAGATTCACCTTTTTGCCGCACAATAAAGTGACAAAAGGCGCTCAGTATTGTGCTGTATATCAATCTATGCACATTTGGTGGTATCTTCTGGACCGGCCAACTGACTACACAGTGTAACAGTGGCATTGACACCACGCAAGTGTGATTAACAATTAAACAATCCCAGTGTGTGTGCTAGCAAAACAACAATAACAGGAATAAAAAGTTAGAAGATTTAAAAATGATTCCCATGTCAACCTTTGTTTAAAATCAGTAGAGTGTTTTCCAGTGACGTCACAGGAGGCTTTACGTCTATATTATATTTTCACTTGGTGTTAAAAGCATTTAATCAGAGCAGGTATCTGATGGTTGGGACTGACTCACAGTCCTCGTCTTCCTCAAACGAGGGGATCAGCTCCAGCCTCTTCACATGTGGAGGGATGTCTTTCTTCGTTACCATCTTCACCACGTCGGACACGCTGCAGAAAATGTAAAATGCAGGTCAGTTCTGGTTTATGAAGGATGCACCAGCAAAACAAACACCTTTTCACTATTAGGTACGTTAAATTTAATCCAGTTTCTTAAAAGTCTTTCTATCAGCAAACCACATAAAGAAAGCAGGAAAGCCAATATGAACTCATCCTACTGACAAATATCGTATCAAATAAAGTGCAATAATTTGTGCTATAAACGTCTATAATTATTATTATTACTATCCAAAAACATTAACAGAACCAGTGAGACACTCAGGTGCTCTTAATATGTCCCTGTATTACTATGAACTTTACTCACTCGCAATGTGAATTGATCCACATCTGAAAATCATCCCCAACAAATACATTATCTAATTCTGTTTATGGAAGATTTGCTAAAACTAAATCAGAAAATGATTAAACATTTTTTTAAAGTGACAAGTGTGACCTGTTTTTTGTCAACAAAACGGATCACATTTCATTACTTTGGAAATTTTGGAAAACAAACCAAAGTGTAAAACAACAGCAACTGTTTCCTACAGTGATTTTTTTGGTGTTATCTGTGTTTTTTCTTTTACTCTTTATTCCCCTTTCACTGGCCCACCACAGGAAGCTTGTGGCAGGAAGCGACTGCTGCAGAGGGTGTTTGTGAAGCAGGTCTGCTGTCCACATGGCCAACACTGTGACTGTGTCTCCCTGCAGCTTAATCTACTCACAACACCAGCTCCCCAGAGACCCAAGCGTCAAAAACAGTAAACAAATGTGCAGCTTGTTTGAAGACCTCGCAGCAAGGTTTAAGCAAAAATAATCAAATATTTCAATTTACCCGGCGAATCATTGCCCGTAAACTCTCTCGGTTAAACTTGATTTATTACACCTTTCCCACCTTCAGGAGTCACAACATCCCACAGGGTGTGTATTCTGCCGTGATTCGTTTCTTTAACTGATGAGGAAATTTCACAAATCCTCTGACTGGTTTCAAACGCCCCAGGGCTGGTAAAACGTGACTTCAATGTGCTGCGGCACTGAACAGGCCCGAACAGCCCGGCTTCTGATGCAGGACAAGAAGCTCACACTAATTTAACTCCCTAACTCTTCTCCTCAACAAACAGAAGGAAACCCGAGGAGGCGTCTCAATCATCTGCGTTCACTGATCCATGTATGTGTGTCAACAGGGTCTCTCAGAGGAAACACCTCATCCTGCCATTAGCATCTAAACAAACAAAGGAACGTGGCCTGTTTGCGTGTGCAGGGCTGTGAATGTGTAGCTCTGTATCTTTGCTTTACCTCTTTTTCAGCCTGTCTTCTTGCCCATTGTATAAGAAAGCAGTTCCATAGAACAGACTGCTCACATTCAGGCTGTATTTTTCCTGCAAAAAGACAAAATAAGTGAACAAACTTGCAGCCAAACATAATAAGCACAACAAAGCATCAAAAGAAATACAGGTAGAGAACTGCATGCATGAATTAATTCCTAGTCTGCAGAGCTGAAGGTCCGACAGTGTGCCCGGCGACCTCAAATGACTTCAGCAGCTCAGGAAACTCTGCAGCGTCTCCGCGAGCAAACCAGAGGAACTCAGCCAGTCAAAGGTTAAACAAAATCTGGAGCAATGAGAACACTTGCCAATTTATTTTTTCTTTGCCTCCTCAGAGAGAAATCCAACAGGCTCAATAAACCAAATGTCTGCTGAGGGCAAGAATGCACATGCATAAAAAGTAGGCAAAGAATCCTGAGCTGAGATCTTCTGGTTGCAACTAAAATCTGTCGTATTACGAAGAACATGTTCTGGATCTCTCACATGCAGCGCACATAGAAATAACATGAGAACAATAAAACATGTTCACACTGAAAACAAGGAGAGTTTACAAGCTGCCTGTTAGTCCAGTTACAAGCACAATGCATGTATGGGCTACGTGTATTAATTGTGTTTTTAAACACTGAATTCTGGGGTATTAGGGTGTGCAATCACTAGATTCTGGTCAGTTGCAAGTCTGTTATTGTGACTAAATAATGCCAGTGACGGCGTGACATTCGTCAGGGTAGAGGATATACTCGGTATCACTTGGTGCTCTTGTTTTGCATTTGTAGTGATAAGATGGACAAAGTAGGCCACAGAACAATTAAAGCACAACAATGTCACGGCAGCCTGTAATCAAACTATGGCTCCAACCTCAACGGCTGAGATGTTGGAAGTGATACGGAAATTATGTCAAGGAGGATGACAAGAAGTGAAGTGTAATGCCATAGGAGAGGTATAGGCAACCTTTTGGTAAGCAAGCTGGTTCTGTAAAGCTCCTTTCAGACCTGCTGAACTGAATGTGTCGGCTTCATGTCTGAATGGGAACCCTGGTTGCTTTTTCTTAAAACCCAGGAACATTTCTGGACATATAAGCAGCGGCACTTTAAGTTGTGTGAGGTGGTCAGGAGGCGACTTTTCCCTCATTTCAGCACTAATATCTGAGTCTCTCAGATATTAGTGTATTAAATCCCTGCAGCATCACACAGCAGTAGAATCCACACGATCGTCTCCAAAACATGTGGAACAACAGTGGCGATAACTGCATCAATAACTGAAAACTGTGTCCAACATGGAGACAGGATCAGTTGGGGTCAGGACTCTATGGCAAGCACTCTTTTTCCATCACACCGGTGAGCTGCACACAGTTACGTTGTTGCTTCCAGCTGTATTTAGGAGTGATTACTCTGAATTTATTGAATACTGGTTGCATCAGACAGCAGCAGGATCCATATGAGCATCTCCGAAGCGAGGGCATCTTTACAATCAGGATCTATCAGCAAGTCTTTCCCTGTTGGTAAAGCAGTAGTTACAATTTTCACTGTTAAGGAAATAATGACTGAAGGAGGCTTCTCGTTATTTGGACTCTTTGATAAGCTGCTAATAGCTTCGATTTTGGTCTTTTGTTTGCCACAAAAGTCATTGTACATCACTTGATGTGCTGTCTAATCTCATGTGAAGAACGAATACCGCCTGCACGACTCTCTCTGGCGCTGTGAGGGGTTTGTCTGAATGAAGGAAAATTAAGGGAGAAGTGACTGATGTCTGAATGGCAAAATGCTGTCACTTAAATGGACTGATGAAGCCAGGAATGGTCCACAAAGTGTGTCTGAAAGGGGCTTAAGTTGTAATGCTAGGTGTAAAGCGGCCAATCATTTCAAACAATGGGCATTGTGTGCACTGGAGGAAGGTGAGCAGGTTTAGGAAAACATTAAAGACACTGATAGAATGTGCACTCAGTAGCACCGGGTGTGAAGAAAGTGTGCGCTTCCTTGCTGAGAGGAATAAGGAGTATACCTTGATATACTGGAGCAGATCTTCCAAGGTCATTTCCTGCTGACCGCCGCCTCTGCCCTCGACAAGGAAGTCATCCCACAGGGTGTATTTCTTTCCTGCGACCTGGCGATAGACATCCAGCAACACACACACACACACACACACACACACACACACACACACACACACACACACACAGAGGCAAAGTTGACAGACGAAGTACTGCCTGCAGTGAGGATGTGCTGAAAATGCCCGAGTCCATAACAAGAGTCCTGGACACTCAGCGACAGACACACTGCATATTTCATTGCTGCGTTATACAGCAGCTGAGAACAATCAGCAGAACGAACAACGAGGTCAAGGAGGTTCTTCCTCACATATGATGGAGCGACTCTCCTGCTTTCTCAGGTTGCATCGTTCAGACTCACATGTAGTCGTGCAACGCCGTGTGTTTGGGCAAAAATGATCCTAACACAAAGATATTTAGAAAAAGTTGAAGAATGCAGCTTGTAAAACCTGCATCTGTGTGAGTAGAAAAGCGTTGCTCTGGGCAGTGAAATAACAACATCGGAATTTCTCCAGACACTTTGCCAGATTGCACTTCAAGTTGCTGAAATTCAAAGTTTGTGGGTCAGAGCGTCCTGCAGTTGTTTGAGTCTTCTCTATGAAGAGACACACGCTCGCATATTAGAATAAGCTGCTTCTCAATGTTTTATATCACTGCAAACACTCATATTTGTATAATATAATCAATATTTTGAATACAGTTAATTTTAGAGTAAAATCTGTTTTAATAGTTAGGTATCAGAAAAAAACAAATTTGTATGAAAGTAGACAAAGAATCTACAGCCATGTAAGCACTTTGGGCCCATGTTTCATATATTCACTATCTTAATTTAACTTGTTAGCATGTTAGCTTGGGAGTGATGGGAATGTATGACTTTGACCGGACGATGCTACGACTGCAGATAAAAACTGAAGGAATCACCAGCGCTGTTAGAGCTGATCATGAGCGTGTCTGCGTCAAAGGTTGTTCCAATTCATTGAGCAGACGTTGAGATATTTCAGTGGATCAGAGGAAACTTCACCCTTCTCTTGGCACCAACAGAAACATCTATGGATCAACAAAGTCTCTTAACTCAAATGGAGGACTAATCATCTGACTTTCTTCAATCATGCTGCCAGCTCAGCAAAACTGAAGGACTTGTATTACGACTGTGTCCTCTTACAATAAAGGCTCACACACGATGCTGTTGTTCTGTCAGGAGCTGTTTATTGCATCGAGACCTAAAGACACGAGAAGTGTGAGAGTCTCGTGAGTCCAAATGAAGCTGAACCAACAGTGATTCACTGGTAGCTCACAAACACTCATTTCCTTTTCCTGCCCCAGGCTCCACTGTCACCCTAAAGGCTGCCGTCACACCTCTCAAATCTCATGAGATCAGATTTTATGGATGACCAGAAAGTGACCCGGCATCCTTGAAGGCATTTTTCCTATAGCTTCGACCTCCGACCTCCAAACTGAGACACAATACAAACTCCTGACAGCCAGACAGATCAATTTAACGGCTGCGAACATCCATTTCTCCTGCTGCTGGACAGATGCTAGTCACTGCATGTTTTCACCCTAAACATCATTATCCACACGTGTGAGACCTGCAGAGAAAACATCACCTGACTGAAACGGGTCAGAGTTCCTCACATGCAGAAAATATGTCAAAATATGTCACTTGGTCAGACGACCATGCTCGCACACAGGCCGCCGTCTGGTAGGAGAAGTTGTGAAGATCAAAACTTGGCTCGAGATGCGAATACCAAAACTCTGGCTGAACCTGGGTCCAATTATCTCTGCTCGAGCAGCCAAGGGGAACTTTTCTACTAGCCCTCGCGACTCCCACCACATATGGGGGTTTTGGGTTATGGAGACACACTTGAAGCATATTTCTCAAGTCTAACCGGGTGTCTACGTCCTCTGTCCCAGTTTGCAGACAAAGCACATTTTGTTTGCGAGATGTACATCGTAACACCGCCGATGTCAGCGTGCAGAGAGAATTGTCAGTACAGCCTCGGACTTCCCATGGGTGGAATAGAGTTCCAACCTCTTTTAAACGGCCTTGCAAACAAGATATCATTGTTGGACTGTAAAATGGTTTTCAGTGGTCCCATGCCAGAAATTTTCACGAGTGCTTTTGTGTGCAGATGCTGATTTTACACAATGCAAAGCAGGCGTGCAGGCTATTTTTACTCCCCCTCCTCCCTTCCTCTCTCTCTCATGTCTGTCACACAACCCTGAAGCCGATCCGCCGTATCAGTCTGTGTGTGGAGTGACGTCAGCTGCTCGCAATATAGAGAAAAAAATAAGCAAAACCAAAAGTGACTCCTGGAAACAATTACAAACGGTTTCCCACAAGCACGTTTTCTTTTTTTTTTTTTTTATCGTGGAACTTTCACAATAAAAAGATGGCCCAATGAAAAAGTTAACTCTTTGGGGAAAAAGAAGAAAGACACAGAGAGTTAACCGAAACTCCACAAATTACTAGAGTAGGAAAATAACAATAAATCTGTCCTATTTGGAGCTTTATTGGGAGTCCACACACAATTCTTTGTAGTGCATAATATGCAGGCACGCTTTAATCCGCAGCTTTTTGATGTACTCGCTTTAATAAACTCTAAAAGTGGACGCCGCAGTCATTAGCAAGATAAAATCAAAAGGAAGAGCTATTGCACTGATAATACATTACATCGCATAAGTCAATTAAAGTTGGACAAGGTTGTCTTGAGGCTAGAGTGTAGAATTACTGTCTGAGAGGTCACCTGTTATGCTGAGGAGAGCGCAATTGACAAATCCCTGCCAAGTGCTGCTCGGTGGCTAATCACAGCTGCACTCAGACGCCTCAGCCTTGCGGTCGGAGTTGAAAAAGGCAAGCTGAGATTCGAGTGTTCTCAAAGCAAAATGCATTAAAAACAAGTCTCTAGTGTGTCTGGCAATGAATATATAAAAAAAACTGCAGTGATAAAAAAGAAGCGAGCTCGTTCATTAGCCTCAGAAAAACCTTCTTATTCAATAAAGTGTGCTGCGTTCCAGTTCGCCGTCTCACTGTTTGGACATAAAGCAGAGACAGCAGTCGGGATTCTGGCTGGTTGAGCTGCACCGAGTTTGACTTGAGACGAGACAAACGGCCACTTCACGGTCCTAAAAGTCGCAGTCAAGAAAGTCACGGTGGCCAACATATGGTAAACATACATACATTTATGTTCTGTCTGCTCTGCTGTTGGATGACGGCCAACTTTCTCATCCACTGTATAGTCTGTGTTACAAACGCAGCCATAAAACATGAAACAGCTGGTCCTTTTGAAACAATAATGGAAAACAATCGTGTTAGCGTCATATTTTTAGGTACGATTAATCATCACAGACAAAACACTTGAATGTAAACTGTCACAGTAGACTTAAGTCCTCTACCAATAAAAACTATTTCATGGTTAATACAGCCCTGATTTGTCTTTCTCCTGCCTCTCACCCTGCAAAACAAAATTCAAAATGCCCCACAATCCTCCAAGCAGTCCGCATTACTATTTCTATCGGTGATTGTTTCTTCACCGTCATTAAACTATATGGATGTCATAAATTCTCTCCCCCGATGTGTCATGTTCCGATATGAAGTTCCCCAACAGCTGACGCGAACAACCAAAACAACCGGCTGCTTCCTCTTGTTGACAGGAAGCCTGGAGAGCTCTCCTTCTCTTCCTGAAAAATCTAAACGGTGATTTATCTAATCTATAAATAAGCCGCACGCTGAATCAAGCACGCACCTTCAGGAGTTTCCACTTCTGAAATGAAATGAATAAAGGAGCAGAATAGGTGTGGTGTTTTGTGACAAAAGCTCTACTGTCCTTAAAAAGGAGAGATGTAAATAGACTCATTATTTATTAAGTGATTATAAACGATGTAGTTGTATTTTACTAATCGCTGCAAAAGTCTTATTTCATTATTCTGTCTGCAACAGCACATAGGTTAGTACTGAATGCCGTGTAGCCCAAAGTCAGAAATGACCTTTTCAGGAGTAGATGTGGGTAAATGTTAAATAAAATGTCATTTTAAGATCGAATACAACCAGCGCACGAGAGCCATTCGCCTGTACCTACACTTCAGTTTTATAGAATTACATCATCAAAAGGTCAGACGGATCCTGCTGCAAAGTGTTATTTCCAAGGAGTCACAGAACAGTCAGAGAATCTTGGAGAAGAACGAAAAGTCCACCTCGCTTTAGTCTGAACCCACAATCCAACAACTGTACTGTAGGCCTTCATGTTGACTACCAGTCTTTATTTTAGAATGAGTTTGGTGTTTGCAGACCTTCTAGTTTGGGTTTTATTTACTACTAACAGCTTTGGAAGGTTCAAAGTTTTTACCGTTATTTAATATTTTCTGGATCCCAGAACATTAAAACAACAGCATCTGACCTGACACACAATAAAGTCTCCTATGACAACAAGGCCACTTGACTGATGGAGCCCAAAAATAGCCGCCTCAGTCTGCAGATATACACAGAGGCCTGGGAATGGGAGAGCCGCCAGAGGAAGTCCAGCTAATGAACCCGATAAGGAGGAAGAAAGAATCCCAGTTTGACAGAAGCACAATCATGCTGGTCGTTTCGCACAGGTCACCGCGTTTGGAGTGAAATCGCAATGTGTTTGTTCATAATGTGTATTTTAATCTTGGCCTTTAGGACAATGGAGCACTTCTGGAGACAGGAAACCGAGACCAGTCGGCAAAACTTGGATAAGTCCTCCAACCGAAAGTCTGCCACAAGAAATACCTCTGCATAGGCACGCTCCTGGCTCAGCTTCATTTATTTGGCCTCAATCCCAACAGTGGAAACGTTTTTACAGCCCGTTGTGGCTGGGGGCCTGTTTCTTCAAAGGCAACTATTTTCCTTTGCAGGGCTTCAAAGTGAGCTTTAGAGGAGGCATATGGAGGATCTGTGTGGTCTCTTCAGATCGTATTTTTATCTTAATCTCTTTTAGCTTCCCTTAGCTTTTCTTTTGGAGACAATCTGGTAACTTTTCCTTCAGAGTCTGTGTCCCAGATTAGTCCTCAACTGTGCCTGAAAGTCACCTCA